TGTATGGTTAGAAGTTTCAAGTAGTAGAAACTATAAAACAGACAACAAATAGGCACTTGGGTGAGCACTATATATTGCAGCAGAGCAATCAATACGGCTTTCTGTACAGCTAAACTACAACAACAAAACCTCCAGAATATCTGAGGTGACAATCATGTGAAGGAGCAAAGCTTGACTAATGTTGGATGCCTTTACAAAAATTGAGTTAGACTGATTAAAGGGAGCCTAAAAGACACTTTAAATAACCCACAAGTCTTTACATGGTTGATTGATTAAAAGCTATTAAAATACTGGCAAGAATAAGTAGTCAGTTTCCACAGCACAGGAAAGTCACTGGTGGATTCACGCTTAGGCCCATGCTGTTCAACATACTGATAAATCATCTGGAAAAAGGGAGCAAGTAGCTTTTCCAAAGTTACTCAAAGTCGTAGAGAAAAATGCAATGTTAACAATTCTTGGAGACTGAAGGGAAAAAGCCTCTAACTTTATTAAGCCACAAAGCAAATTTACAGTGAGATCACATGTTAAAGAAGACGACTGACCAGATCTTTTCCGATGGAAGAAAAGCAGACTGAAATGAAGTTATGGCCAAGATCTATAAAATAAGGAATGACAGAAACGGTGCATAAGAAATGACTGCTCGTTGGGTCTTCCAACCCAAGAGACTAGGGGATATCAAGTCAAATATCCTGGTTTTGACTGGGACAGAGTTAGTTTTTCTTTTTAGCTGCTAGAAGAGCTCTGTGTTTTGGATTTAGTATGGGATGTTACGAGAGGAATGTTGATAGCGCACTGATATTTATAGTTGGCACTGAGACAGCCAGGACCTTTCAGTTTGCCACGTTCTTGCCAATGTGCAGGAGCACAACAGGCTGGTGGGGAGCATGGCTGGGACAAAGGGCCCACAACTCCCCTTACGGTTTGAACTTAGACTTAGGATTGAGGGCCAAATTGGCCGATGGAGTATTCCATATCAAGGAACGTCATGCCCAGTATATAGATGAAGGTTGACTGGGAAGTTTAGAATTCTCTTCTGAGGGTACTCTCAGACTCTTGCTCTCTTTTCGGGCCTCTCACTCATCCAGGATTGTGGTGTCAGGGCTTATTTGTTTCGGGATCACTTGCTGGGACAGGATAGGCGTTGGTCACCAGCTGGTGAGCAATTACACTTTGCATTGCTTGTTTGTATGTATTATTATCGTATATACATATATATTATTATTTCATCATTATTAATTTTAATTTTGTATTATTGTTATTATTAAATTGTTCTTATGAGTCCCTTTCCCTTGTCCCCTTTAATTCTTGTCATGGGTTAGGCCACTCCGGCAACCAAACCCTACACAGTTGCTCACTCACCCTCCCCCACCCCCAGGGTTGAGGGAGAGAATTAAAGGAGAAATGGGAAACCCGTGGGTTGAGATAGGAACAATTTAATACAGATGATTTAATACACAGTGTAGATGCTCACCACCCCCTCTTATCCAAAGCCTGTCTCGTCCTGAAACTGCAATCCCGGACAAATGTGAGGCCCCAAAATAGAGAGGGAGAGAGAGAGAGATAGTACTCTGAGAGTGGGAGTACTGGAAGAGAGAGGGAAAAAAAGCAATAGAGCAAAAGCGCAAAGGAGCAAAAGCAGCGAAAGAGCAAAAGCGCAAAAGGCCCCTCTTTCCAGCTGTCCCTCACCTTTTTACTGGGCATGACGCTGCATGATATGGAATACTAATTGGGCAGTTTGGCCCTCAATCTTAAGTCCAAGTACAAATTGTAAGGAAAGTCATGGACCCCTTGTCCCGGCCATGCTCCCCCCTTATCCTGTTGTGCTCCTTCACACTGGCAAGAACACGGCAAGCTGAAAAGTCCTTGAGACCTCAGTGCCAACTACAAACATCAGTGTGCTATCAACATTCTTCTCAGAGCGAGCCTCTGAGTAAAACCAAAGCACGGAGCTCTTCAGCTGCTAAAAAGAAGAGCTAACTCTGTCCCAGCTAAAACCAGGACAATTCTCTTGCCCATTCCCTGAGAGTGAGCAAGAGGCTTCACGGGGTTTAGTTGCCAGTGGGTTAAACCACAACATCAAACTAGAAAGCTGTTAAGTTCCACAAGTTCAAAACAGAAGCACTTCCTCACACGAGGTGCTGGTAAGCTGCAGAACTGCTTGCAATAGGTTACTATGTACACAGAAAAATTATATGAGTTCAAGAAGCAGCTGGACAAATTTGTTAAAAGTAAAACCCAAACAAAACCAACAAATTCACTGAAAATGAATAAATATAGAAACGTTGCCCTTGGTTGAGAGATTGCATATTGAAAAAAAGTATTCAGATGTATCACTATTCACTTGCTTCTTTCTTCTGCTCCTCACTAGATACCTATTGCTGCCCGCTTGTCTAATATGATAAAGGGCTGGAAGGACCCTCAGTCAATGACAGCATGGATGTTTTGAGCTATCCCAAGCATCAGAAAGAAGAAGTACTCTTACAGTAAATATTTACTGCAAGATAAGTAGATGAGAAAGACTGTCAAAAAATACTTGGGTTTTGTTTGTGATTAATATATAAGTTTCTCACTGAATATGTATTAACTTTCAAGATGATATACAAAGGAGTTTTTTTTTGTGGTGAGTTTGTTTTTGGTTGGTTGGTTTTTTAAAGATTCTGTAGCAGTTGAGCTGTTTTGGATACATGATCTCATTTACCAGTCCCTCTCCGTCTTGTACCACACTTGTCCTTCATTTATAGTCACTGCCTATCTACATGCTAGATTTGTTTGGAGACCTCCTGCCTTAGCACAATGGTGCTAAACAGCCTAACAGAGGCCAGAGGTCTCAAGATCTGCAGCTTTTAACTAAGAGGTTACTCTCTTCTTGCAATATGCCATGACTTAGTCATCAAAAACATGTATGACTCAGATTTATGCCTAGCAATTTATACTCGTGTTTTCATACTTGGTCTTTTCTGAGAAGACATTTATTACCTTCTTCCAAATGGAAAAGAGAATATTGAATTTTTTAATAGACAACTTTTTGACAACGTAAAGGTGTGCTGTTTTTAACAGACCTTCTAGTAAGCCAGGATATCATACTCATTGGATACCATAGATACTGCATCTTCTAGCTTGAACTTCAGCTTCTCAGTGCTTGTTCTTGTTGTTTAAATTGCCTATCTCAGCCTTTTCATAGCTCCATTTTCACTGTACCAAGATCATTATCTATTGAACATTTCTAGAAAGCTGAATATGATATTTGCACAGTTGCCAATGTTATCAGTCTTAAAAACATGTTTTTATATCCTCTTATAACACAGCTTTCAAGGCAGTTGCTGTACGCTGATATAAACCAATAGCAGGAGCTTTGAGTAGACTTACTAATTCTATCTCCCCCCAAACTAAACTTCACAAACAAAAAAAAAAATCCCAAACACTTTACACCTACAAACCCTTTCTTCCAATATTTATTTTACATACATCCCCCCAAAAATACACAACCCACACAACGCAACATTTAATTTCACAGAACAAAATATAATCTGTCTATTCAGACCCTGAATAGGTTCATACCTGCATTGTCTGTCAAATTCTAACATCAAAATTGCAGTCAAGTAAGTTAAAGTTATGCTATAGAACTACAGATTCATTTCTTAATGTGGGCATTTTGCTTATATTCCATATCCTAACAACTCAGTGAAAAGTGCCCATTAGATAAAATATATTTTGATTTTTGACTTTTACAAGAAAACCTGTAAAAAAACCAAATATGAACAGAAACTGAGGCTGTTACAGTCTCTGATTTTACATAATTTTTTCTTCCAGGTTCTACTGTAATACATGGCTCCCACAGATGTTAGCAATAAAGTCCCAACCTCATCCATCACAGAATGCAATAAGTGAATTCATGTATGCATAAAGCCCTAATGAAGTCTCGTGTGTAGGGAGGTGATTTTGAGGCACAACAGTTTGCAGGGAGTAGTCTTTTGAATGTAAATAAGAATAAAGCAAGCCACACGTTCATTGTGCAAAACGTTGAATGTTGTGACACTAAGTTTACACAGGAAGCATCAGAATTTGCCTAATAAACTGAATTTGAAGAATATAAAGTGATACTTCATCTGAAAACAAAGATTCATATTTGCAAGACAAGCACTTGCAGTCAACTTTAAAACAGAACAATGAAACAATGAAAACTTTAAAACAGCTTACAATGAAATACAGAAGAAAAATTAATCACTGTTGTATGTAAATACACGGCAGTTTCGTTCTTTCTAGTGTCCAAAGAACTCTTAGAATCCATAGTCTTTCCACATTTTCCCTATTAAAAAAAAAAAATCTATTTTTCTTACAATTCATAAAAAGTCGGTTTCAAACTCAAGCCTCTCCAAAACTCAAATGTTTAATTTTTCAAATGCAACTATTTACAAGTGAAAAGGTTCTTCAAGGTAAGAAAGTGGCAACTATAATGACCATCAATACAGAGATACACCTTTGGGTGTGTCTTTGCCAAGAGTATTTTAGTAGATGTATTCCCACTTTCTTTGATTCCCGTTCATTCAGCTTCTATCTACAGAGGCAACCACTCTGAAGAACCTGACAACTCCGTAAAGCTTCCTTTTGGTTTTGAGAGAGCTACCTTCAGTTAGAATCACATGAAAGAATCTATTTGCATACCAGATCTACAGTTACTTGTCATATTAAAAGTGTGAAATTTTGATTTATGTTTCCTACACTGATGCAATTAATGGAAGGATTAATTAAGAGGGGTTTGGTAGGAGGTCGTACACTTGATTACAATTTCAAAGGGAATTACAAAATGAGATTTCCCAAATAAACACTATGATCTCCAGCTGTATGGATTCTCATTCAAAGACCTTTCCTCATTTTAGTAAGTCTGTTAAAAAGCAATTTATGGAACTTGCAGTCCTATTAACTGTTCTATAGAGAACAACTTGTTTTGTCCAACCTAGGCATAATAAAGGTGGAGGTGAATTCCACTGTTAAAGACTTACCATAGGTTGCAAATGTTCTTCGTTGTTGTTCAAACATGAAATCATTGATGTGAGCTGGTTCTGCGTATCCAGAAAGCATATTTCTAGGTGCAGCCATTTGCTGAGTCCTAAATGGATTTTCTGGTCCAAACTACATCAACAATGTTAAAAGAACGTATATCAGAATTACTAATTTATTATTTGTATGTGTGTACTTTTTCAGGAAAAAAAAAGATTTGTCTTTCAAAAACTGTTAACATAAAATCACTTCAACTTTCTCTTTCGTTATGGCTACTGAATAAGCTGCTTAGTCTGCTATTTTACAGAGCGATTGCTTACGTAATTGGTTTGAACAGCTCATTTCATGACTGAACTTTCTAGCCTGTATTATCAGTACAGAGGACAAATCAAATCAACTACTTGACACAAAACACTGCCATTCAGTATGTGATCAGGACAAGCATTCAGAAGACAAAACCAGAGCACACTGTCCCTTGTAAGGAAGAGATATCAACAAAGAGATACCAGGTCCTACTAAACCTGTGTATTTAATACAGAAATTACACTGTCAACAATACCTTTGTGCATTTAAAAAGTAACTAGAGACTCGCTGTATTTTTCCAGGAAATTCACTTATGAAACCCTGCCTTGCCTTTATTCTTGCAAGATGACAACTTGCAAGATGGGAACTTCAGCAGACTGCCATGACTTCTCAAATACGATGGACAGTGGCTTAGCAACTTCATCTGTCAGTCCCCTCAGGACCTGTGGATGCATCTCATCAGGTCCCATTTAAATTTAATTTTAACTCCTATGCTTGTCAGCCATATTTGCAGACGTCTGAGAACATCCCGCATGAGGCTTCTGTAAGTAAAACACTTACACAAGGTAACACTGTACAGGTAAGTTTGAATCAGCAGTTCTGTTCACACGCTTCATTGCTTTGGTATGTTGCAAAACACAAGTTTGCTATGAAAAGGCCAGTTTATGTGGTTACACAAAAGGTTTTCTAAACATAATAACTAATGTAGAAATTTCAGACTGACACAGCCTTTGTCTATATGGAATGCTACCCCCTGGTCTAACAGCAGACAAACTGTACAAAGAAGTTAAATACTGAAAAAAAGTTAAATGCTTGAACAGCTATTTTTATCTTTCAGATAGCCTGTCAGTTATAATAAAACAGAAAGCAGTTCACATGGCACCAGGCAGTCCAAGTTCAGCCTAAAATGGTTTTTCATTCTACACATTTAGCATAGCTTAAGTTACTCAAATACTTAATGCTCATAGTTACACTGAAAGTACCTGGATTTTAATTTTAAATCCTCTTCATAAAAGCCATATATCCACAAGACTTACAATAATTCATTTTGCTCTAAGTAGCACAATGAGTAAATAGCAAAAATGTGAAAACAGTAAAAGACTACTTTAATGCAATTCATGTTTTACTCAATATCTTTATAATGCCATTTTCTGAGCTTGATTTTTAATTTCTGCAGCTATAATTCTGATAAACACTTCAAGATTCTTCTTAGAACAGCTTTATGCAGAACATTAAAATTCAAGCATTAAAAATACCAACACACCTGTGTAGAATCTTTTTTCAATTTGTCCAAACTAGATTCCAAATTACAGCAAGCATCCAAAGAAGATATATTTTACACGAATTTCACAAGAGATTTATGGAACCTCAACCCTTTAAACCAAAGGCATTTCTGCCCTAAAGATCAAAATTATTTCTTACCTCAGGTGCAAACATAGTATCGTAAGTGGGATTATATTGAACTTCCTTGATAGCAGGATCAAGGTGGACTCCTGTTTCCACATCTTCCTGAAATAAAACAGAGATATTAATAAACAATTTTTCAACATACAGACTTCTAAATACATGACATTGCCCCATTTTGGACCAAATTAGGGCTGTAGTTCAAGTTGACACTTTTAGCACTATGAAAGGAGAAAAGTAGCTTGGGCAAAGTTTTGATTTTTAAAAAATATTGACTGTAAAACCAATGTCAGGCCCTCATTGAGAAATTCAGTCTAAGACATATGCGGAATTTTGCATGTGCATTATTATTTTTTTTAAAGTCTTAATGCACACATTTTAAAAACAGTAGTGAGATTGGAGGCAAGCTTTTTTTTTTTTTGAGGATGTTTGAAAAACAGGCCTTGTAAAGAAGAGTCAATTAAAACAGTCACCAATTTGATATGAAACCACAAGAACTAGATTTCTACAAAAGGTAGAAGGCAGAAGCCACAAGTAAACGTTTTGAAAAATAGTTGAGAAAACAGTATTAGACATCAGAGCAAACATATGTATAGCAATGAGTTTCAGAGAATCCAACAATTCCTTAACTCCAAGTTTTTACAAAAAGGTATAAACGTAACTCAGCTTCAGTATTTAAACACATTTCCAAGCCTGCTGTGACAAAAATTGAACTCGACAGACAAGGGGACAAGAAAGAGGGGCTAACAAAAAGAATAACTTCTCAAGCAACTCAAAGGGGAAAACTCAGAAGGGCACATGCAGCTGAAGTAGAAGACAGAGAAGATGGGGAAGAAAAAGACTGATTCGGGGGCAGGGCTCAAAAAGACCTGGTTTCACAGAGCTCCACAAAGGCTCATTTACATTGATCCTAAATTGACACTACTCCCACAATTAAGGGCTCAGTTATTTTGTGTTATTATTACTGGTATTGCTTCCTGCATCTTTATTCTAGAATAAATGCATTTGAAAGAGATTTACAATGTTCTACCATATTGAGAACATCCCTAGTAATGATACTGAAAAAGCTATCTTAGCATCAGTGTTTAACCGGTGCTTACAGGATTCAAAAGCATTTGCAACTCACAGAAGGAAGCGGTACAACAGAGGATCAAATTTTAGCAGTCACCTTTATAAAAAATTACCTTGAACAAACTCGATCTTGCTTTGTATTATAGTACCTTGAAAGAGCAAAACGGCACACTCTTTACTTGTTTAACGTTGTTAGCTATTCTCTGGCACGCTGTGCCGAGAAGCTTTTTTCCTCCCCAACTCAATAGCAGGTCAATTATAAACAAATTTGCTTAGGCATGTAAGACTTACAAGGTTTTCAAACCTGGTTTTCTAGAACACAGAAAAGAAAAACAGTAACTAAAGATCTTTGGCTTGTTACCTGATTATATTTGCTTAAAACTGCTCCAAAAAGGAAAAAAAAAAGGTGTGGGTGTTGCTTTTTTTTTTTTTTTTTTTAAGAGAATGACATCAGCAATCCCATCAATTGTTTTTCTACTAAGACCATTGTCTTAGTAGAATTGCTAAACCCAACTCGAAAGCTTTACTATCACTGTGTATCAATCATTTTAACAGGCAGGTCCAGCCATTGCACTGCTCTTGCTTGAGCCTGTAGCACTGCCAATTCCCAGCCTGACCTCCTTTCTCTCATCACACGACCTTTCCAACTCACTGGGCTTGGATGACAACGGCTACCGGTACATTCACAGCCCTGACTTTCACACGCTGTGAACCTGCCTGGGAACAGCACAGCAGGCCTAATCCAGCCATTCGGCAACAAAAACAGACCCCACACACCCTTCTCCAGCTTAGAACAGGAGCATATCAAAACCATTTCCCAACCTGTATTACCTACACACTTATATTTCCTTTCACAGCTCCATGACCCGAGGACATTATTCGTAGGCAATTTTTTCTAGTCACATCATACAGCTTGCTCTGCCAGCCAGACTTCACATCTTATCCACCAATTTCAGAAAATAAAAATTAACATCATTGATAATATGGCAAAATTTTTCTGATCAACTGTCAGTGACATTTAAACAGTTATCATTTTACTTGAAATTAAGACACAGGGTTTTTTCCTGCTCTTTAAAGTGAAAAAGTAAGAAAAATCCAGTTTTGCAAAAATGCCAAGAATTTTTCACTACCACTATTTTTTCTCCTCTTTTCTGCCTGTTAAGTCCTATTATATGCCACTTGGTAATTGAGAAAAGAAACAGATTGTGCCATGAAAGCTGATCCTCTGCTGGATGATTATAGCAATTCTGGTTCTGTTTCACTGCTGGTGGAACAGTGCTGAGTCACTTGGAAGCCACACAGTGTGTTCACTCCTAGACCACCACAGGCACAGTCTTTCTGTGCGAGAACCACTGAGCCTTGAAATTGAAGCACATGGTATGTTTATCAGAGCTACACTCCCCAAGACCTCCGGTCTTATTCATGCTTTCATACATTTGGGCATCAAATGATGATCTGTTAATATGCTGCTGATGCACGTAATGGTTGTCTTTTCACTGTGTCATTTTGCTTTAAACTGTACAATAATTTGGACATGCCCCAATTCCTCACTTTCCCGTCTCAGCATTTAAAAAAAAAAAAATCAAAATCTTGTTAGGAAAATAAAGTATTGAAACATCATATTCTGAAATGTTAGTCTATGGCAAAAGTTCAAATTGCAGCAGAAAAATTATCCTTGGGTCGACATCTGATAAATGCCACTTTGTACAGTGTTACGAGACTCTGGTAAGTAGCAGCAGAAACATTAAAAATATTAAAATAGTCCATCAACCATTTCACAAATGGGCAAGCTATCTGTGTTGGGGCATGGTTTGGGGTTTTTGTTTTGTTTTTAATGAAAGAACTCACCAGCAACCTCTGGTTGCTTCACATGGTGAAGCTCACCAGGTACAACTGCACGCATCACCTGAAGACCATTTCAGCAGAACTCATCTTTCTAAGAGCCAGAATGCAAAATAAGTAAACATACAGGTCTTATGACTCTGTTGTCTTATGTTGGCAACAGCCGACAGCACTTGGCTGCATGCATTCGCTTTGGCTACGGCAAACAGGGAAGGGATCACAAGAGCAGCAGTCTGGCAGAGCTGTGAGAGATAAGGTGATCTAAGGGATCACATCCCTCTGCTGTGCTGCAGTTTTCTCCTTTGGTCACACAACGACATATCTTGATTTATCTAAAAGCCTAAGGTGAGTAATTCATCCAGAAGCTTATGTCACAAGCGTGACACAAGTGGCTCCGCGGGACGGAAGACTATCAGTAGCTAGGCTGAAAGAAAAAGGCATTTGTAAATTCGGAGATGGGCTAAGTATTACCCTAGGTCACTTCCCACTCACAGAAGCACAGGAATCATAAAAAGGGGGGCCAAAGGGGGGTCAAGAAGCTGCCAATTTAAACAGATATAGTGTTCCTCCAGAGAAAGCTAAACATTTGGCTGTACGACTGGCAGAGAAGCAGCTTGTGTTTGCTGCAACTCAAAATTGTATAAATATGGGCTTTATGGTAACCTGTAATATTGTTGAAGGTGGTACACCCCATATAACCTGGAAAAGAAGAATTAGGATTTTAGGAAGTTATGTTTTACTGAATATGGCTTTCTTGAAAAACATAATACGATGGAGCTGCAAACTTCAGCTCTACATGTCATCTCTGCTTTTCTCAGTGCTGGTAACAAGTGCTCAACTGAAACCCAGTGGCCACACTGGGCAGCACATATCACGTAAGATAGGTGCTACTGAAAAGGGTCCAAAAGAGAAAATCAAGTACGATCACAGGTCTAAGAAAATATGACTTGTATAGAAAAACTCAACAACCTAATTCAGCCTAAAAAAGAGTCAGATTATACAACTTAGCAGAAACAAGGACAGCCAAACACTGAAATTGCTCAGTCTATAGATCCATGGAAGTTTGGTAGACAGGTTAAATGAGTGTCAGTCCAGACAGACACAGGTATCACTCTTGATGCAAGACAAAAATGAAGGAGATGATATCACCGAACTACCTGGTGCATAGATTGGGGTTTTTTTGCTTGTTTTTTAAAGAGATATGTTGTCTACTTACTTGAAGTGTCAGGTTGATTTACAGTTCAGATATGATTTGATTAGATAAAAAAAATTCTTCGATGCTTAAATGCTCTCCTTCTGCCTCATTCATCCTACAACACAGCATCACACTATCATAGGGGAACGGCACTCAGGGCTGCACTCTGGAGTATTAGTATTTCCTAAGGAATCTACCTTGAGACAGAAAGAAGCTTTCAACATCAAGCGTAGACAAGCAGGTGCTTCATTATAACTCCCTAAAGATCACAGAATGTCTAGCTCCTATCAAGGTGTGCTCCTTTAGTCCTACCATAAAGGCCCTATGGCCAGTTAAAAGTTAGCATAGGAAAGAGCACAGGAAATAGAAGGGATTTTAGACTAAATACAGCAAATCAGATTAGCTTTCCTTCTTATGGATTCCCTAAAGAAGTCACAGTCCTGTTTTTCTTTGGAAAAACCCTACCTGAATGCCATAAAACAAAACCGTTACCATCTATGGTACTTTTGGTACTTTTTATGGTACTACAAGTACTTTTGTACTTGATTTATAGAATGCAAAAAAGTTCAATAATTAAAAAAACAAACCAAACTGAAAAAAGCTTGCTAGAAGTTTTCTTTTATATGTATGCAAGACAAAAACCTTTTTTAATCCAACACAGACCAAATCCCTGTAATAGGCATCAAACCAAAACATTAAATACAAGGAACGAGCTGCAGCGTGGACTGCAACACTGAATGCTAACTCTGTTCCTTAGAAAGAATATAATGCCATTTATGTTAAGGCAACTCACAATCTTTTTAATCCACAATATTTTTAAATTTCATGCAGATTCTGTAATCCTCACTGTGCTAATACGTGGCTACCTGTAAGTTTAATGAGCTGTTTACGCATTTAGAAGCAGAATTTGACACTTGAGTCCCAAGTGTTCGTCTATAAATTAAGTTTGTTAGAACAAAGCAAGGGTCAGAATTTTCCAGAGTTTCATAAC